AATACCATGTCTTAATGTTATCACAAAACGTATGATTGCAGGTGCTACTCGTTCAAACTTTCTACATCAATTTGAGAACTAGAGTTGATGTTCTGTACTTGTACAAGATCCAATTCCCACATTAATCAAATCAAACGTTATAAAAAATGAATATAGCTTCATACATAAGGTTTATCTCACATCTAAACATCATCCGGAAAGTTCAATATGCAACTCACGTTGTAAGACATTCGTAATAGTGGTCTCAAACATACATTCATCTTCTGCTGAAAACTATCTTTACGAACGAATTCTCTTTGATGGTCCACAAGGGACCAAACTCCAATATTTACCAAAAAACTGATGATATTTATCTCATCCAATAGTGTGGTGATAAATTATTGCCATTCAGTAGCAGTAGGCATCTAGCCTTCAGAAACATCAGGGCTTTTCGTCATACTGTGCTTGAAAGAAGTCGAAAGGGAAATTAAGAATGGATGCCTTCTACAGTAGTAGATCAACCTCCGGCATTAAATGTCAACGCATATATGATAAACTGTCCATGAAACGTATCTTTTTATCAAATTAAAAAAACTAGATAATAAATGTTCAGGCATTGTTCCAATAACTGAATGGCATCGTCGCTCAGAGCACCAAGTTTATGTTCTCCAACTACGGCGGTTCAGCAGCCAGGGGCTAGGATAATAAGCAATACAATTTGTTCGGAAAATGTATAGTGCTTTGAGACTTAGATAGCATCAAATTTGACATGATTACACACACTGGTTAGTATGGGCGGCAATCAAGTGCATCATCCACTCTACAGTACCAGGGGGCACTGTAGCTCACCTTCAATCAACGGAAACAGATCAGCCTCAAGAGACCCCTGAATCTGGGCTTTGTTATATAGGGCCCTGTGTAAGCTTGATATCTCGACATCGATTTTATTTGTTATGAAAATCGGATCACGAATTATCAGTTAACGCAATATTCTTTCTTTCCATTCGAGCACAAATTCCAGATTGATTTTTTTAAATGTCTATGTATACGCTTTTACAGGATATGTTCTTAAACATGTGTCGAATCTGTTGACTAGGATGTAGGTTTTATGTTCGTGAAAATATGGACACTTCATGAAGACGTCAGTTTGTTCTATGACACCAAAATCTTCATCTTCATCATTTGTTTGTTTGTTTGTTTGTTTGTTAACTATGCTCTATGACGGTGGTCTGTAAATAATCGAGTCTGGACCTGACAATCAAGTTATTGACATCAGGAGCATCGATCTACGCAATTGGGATAATATGACATGAATCAACCATGTCAGCGAGCCTATCTATTCCAATCCCGAACTTCATGGGGTTAGATGTGAGTGGAAAGTCAACACTGTTGACTGTTCACCAATATCAGTATTCACTTATATCTTACTACTTCAGCCCCACACTCCCTCCTTGTCTGTGGGCCATTTTCTCTTTTTCCCAATGACCACATGCTGCTGCCTGTTCATCATTAATCCGGGGCGGTCGGGTAGCCTAGTGGTTAAAGCGTTCGCTCGTCACGCTGAAGACCCGGGTTCGATTCCCGACATGGGAACAATGTGTGAAGACCATTTCTGGTGTCCCCCGCGGTGATATTGGTGGAATATTGCTAAAAGCGGCGGAAAACCATACTCACTCACTCATCATTAATCCATTAAGTAGTCATCCTACCAGATAGTCGCCCCTTACGGCAAGCACGGGTTGCTGAAGACCTATTCTAACCTGGAATCTCCAACGTGTAATGTCATGTTGTTGACATATGATGCAATAATGACACTGTTATTATAGAGTTGATAGTATTATGCTGATGATAAAAACATACAATGATGAAAACTGTCAATTTTATATTGTACATTTATGAATTCATATCCGCATTACATGAAATGTAATTTATGTTTTAACTTACGTTAATTATCCTTTCATTTAACACAGTAGTATTGTTATTACTATAGCAGCTATTTCGTAAGCTTTCGGAAAATATATTTTGTCTGGTTTTACAGCCCAAACCAATGCCATTTAGTATTCGAATTTGCATATCGAAGAGAAATCATCCAAACAATACTGAAACAACAACACATAGAAACTGACAGTCACAAATCACTGTGAAGTGATAACACCAGGTGTTCGTGAATTGCATAACCATATCCTGCCCTTCCAAAAGTACCCGTCAAGGTGAAAGAAGGTCAAGGTCACGATACAGATAGCTAAAGGAAATAGTGTTCCCTCAAATTATTTGAGAATGATAACATATAACATCGATCAATTGCTAATCTTAAAGTGTGACAGAGCATCGATATGTGTTGCAGGAGGTTTGATGAACTGTTTCCCCATGAATAGGTTCATCCGATCTTCAAACCTGGAATTGATAGCCTTGTCGAAGTATTTGGAAAATAAATTGTACTTTATCCAACACGGTATTACAAAAAAAACACGGAAAAAATCACGAATTGGATGTATTGTGAAACGCTCTTGGTATTTGGTGAATACATAATTTAGTAAATGGTTCGATTCAGATACAATACTTGCATGTTTATGCCCTTGCATACTATTTCCATGTGCATGAATAGTTAAGAAATCAGTTTGGTGTATCATGTGCATGGTATAATATATTAAGTAATATAGATGGATGGATTTGGGTGGATGGATGATAGATGGATGGATGGGTTGTGCGGGTGGGCAGATGTCTGGTTGGGAGGGTGGATGATGGATGGGAGGGTTGATGATGGATGGGAGGGTGGATGGGAAAGTGATGGATGATGGGAGTGTGGATTGGTGGATGGGTGGCTGGATTGGTGGATGGATGGATGGATGGATGGATGGATGGGAAGGTTGATTGATGATGGAAGGATGGGTGGGCGGATGGATGATGGACGGATTGGAGGTAGGGTGGATAAATGGATGGGAAGTCGGTGAATGATGAGAGGGCGGATTGATGGATGGATGATGGATAGGAAGGTGGATTGATGATGGAAGGATGGGTGGGCGGGTGGATGGATGGGAGGTAGGATCGATGGATGATGGAAGGACGGGTGGGCGGATGGATGATGGACGGATGGATGAGGGACGGATTGGAGGTAGGATGGATGATGGGTGGATGAATGGATGGGAAGGTGGATGAATGATGGGAGGGTGGATGGATGGATGGATGGGTGGTGGATTAATGGATTGATGGATGGGTGGATTAATAGATGGATGGATGGATGGGAAGGTTGATTGATGCTGGAAGGATGGGTGGGCGGGTGGATGATGGAAGGGTGGATGGATGGATGATGGAAGGATTGATTGGTGGGTGGGTGGATGGGAGGGTGGATTGGTGGATGGATGGATGGATGGGAAGGTTGATTGATGATGGAAGGATGGGTGGGCGGATGGATGATGGACGGATTGGAGGTTGGGTGGATAAATGGATGGGAAGGTGGGTGAATGATGGGAGGGCGGATTGATGGATCGATGATGGATGGGAAGGTGGATTGATGATGGAAGGATGGGTGGGCGGGTGGATGGATGGGAGGTAGGATCGATGGATGATGGAAGGACGGGTGGGCGGATGGATGATGGACGGATGGATGATGGACGGATTGGAGGTAGGATGGATGATGGGTGGATGAATGGATGGGAAGGTGGATGAATGATGGGAGGGTGGATGGATGGATGGATGGGTGGTGGATTAATGGATTGATGGATGGGTGGATTAATAGATGGATGGATGGATGGATGGGAAGGTGGATTGATGCTGGAAGGATGGGTGGGTGGATGATGGAAGGGTGGATGGATGGATGATGGAAGGATGGGTGGGCGGGTGGATGGTTGTGTGGGTCAACGAATGGATGATTGGTAGGTAGGTGGATGGATGGCGGATTGGTGAGTGGGTGGGTGGGTGGAATGGTGAACGGACAGATAGTCAGACAGATATATAAGTTAAATAACTGACCCACAAGGTGACGCTATTACTCAGTTCAATCAAACACGTCTTTCTTTACGGGTCAAAGGTGCGTTGACGTTCAAGATAACTGAATGGAAAAGCCGTGCGCCAAAGATTAATCTTTAAATTACATCTTTGAGGATAAACAGTTTTGAGTGTATTACATGAATATTGATTCGATGCTTCCATTCATTCTCTTGAGATTTTAAAATTGTACATTAGATTGTAGTTGTAAGGTCTGATACCGCAAGATATAGTATTCAAGAAAGCAACAGAAGGCCACTTTCAAGCGATAGACACTGTTTAAGTTTATGCATTACTATATGCGTTTACAGATCGTTGTCTAGCCCAATGATTAAAGCGTTGGCCCGTCGACGTCATGCCGAAGTTCCGCGTTCAAATCCTGATATTGGCACCGCATGTACGGCCAATTATTGGTGTCTTCCGCCTTGATATGGCCTGAATAATGTCACTCACTCAGTCACTCACCCAATCACTCACTCACTCACTCTCTCACCCAGTCACTCACCACCACCCTACCATCCCACCACCCATCCCACACACACATCTCACTCACCCACATTACCCCACACACCAAACCAAATCACTCTCACCCACATACCTACCCACTCACTCACTACTCACTATCAGTACGAATAATATAGATGTTGCAGATACAGATCCATACAATTACACAGTCTTAGATGCTCTATCGAGTTAATGGAGCTAACATGTACGTAGCGTCATTGTATACATCCCTGTTGACCTATGGGTACTTCGAGTATTGGGCACTTCCAGCTATAGGACCAGTGCCAGGTTCTGAGCCAGCTTTTGTGTGCTAATGGCAGTTGCATGTGTTCACGCCCGTTATGCAAACCAGGGAGGTCCTCCGGTGGGTGGATGTGCTAGCCGACCCCGGGGTCTATGCAGGGCCATGCCCCACATCCCTGCTCGCGTGCTTGGGAAGCCACTGGCCCCTGGTATTGATTGGCTTTATTGGTATACAGTTGGAGGATTTACCCTCCCTCGGTTGACTGACCGACAGATTAACAATTATTTGAGGAACAATTTGCCTGAACGTTGCTGTATGGATTGTGGCAGGGATAGTCCTGAGATGTGAGCTCGCTGTCTTCTCCACTTTGTTCTGATGGCAGCCAGGAAGAAATCAGGAGAGGCTCATCAGGATATTACCTGTTGGTATTTATCTTGGAGTGATTTAAATGATTAGTATGTATGGTGCTGTTCGAGACAACCAATAGTAGGTGCTGGTCCATCTTCCCGAGGCAAGTGAGTTTTAAAGTCCAGTTCCCACCCTTGCCGAACTAGGCTGGTATTATGGAGTTAGATTTTGGCTGGCCTAACGAGTCTATGCATAGTTCAATCAAATCGAGCAACGAAATCGAAATCCTGTTCCTAAACTGTCATGCAGATTTCGGTCGATTGAAAGATTTGCAAAACATGTGTACCACCAACTCGTTGTCAACAGATATTATCTAAATCTTTTCATGTTTTTAATCAAGGTGCTCACGTGATTTGATGCACTTCGTGATGTAAGACTCATTTTATCACAATATAGATCTTGATTATCGATTAGATCGTCTTGACTGGGCGTCGCCATTTGTTTGAAGAAATGCAAGTGATACGAGAGGTGGAATCTGATTGGTCCATAGGAGAGGCATGGAAGGGACATAGCTCGTAATAGCCAAAGGTAGCGCTGCGATCGAGCCGAGGAATTCAAGCCTAGCTCGGCAAGGGTGGAAACTGTACTTTTTAAGTCGGTTAACTCTCTTGCCTCGGGAAGATGGTGCTGGTTAGGGTTACGGAAAACTTATGATTATAATTGTAGTTGTTGGTGATGTTATTGAAAGTGTCAAAACGTCAAAATTAACATTCGAACTTACATTCAATGCACCCAACATAAATGTGTCAGTGTTAGTGAGTGAAGGACATGGGGGTTGACGACGTTTGTGTAAGTGAGTGAAAATGGGTTTATACCGCTTTTAACATTCCAATATTCTAGTAATATCACAGCAGGGGACATCAGAATGATGACGTCTGTACAATGATGTCTGTATTGCAGTAAAATCATGCCATTACTCTTTAGGAAAGCCACGTTTAGGAGACCCAAGAGCATGGATAATGTGCTGATAAACCAAGGATAACAATCGGGACAAATATGGGATTGGAACCACGATCAGCGGATCTTCACAGCTGTGAAAAAGTAGATGTCATTTTACTGTTGTGGGTGTGTCTACCAAAAGAAGCACTTTATAAGGTTCATTATAGACGGAATAGTTCTATCTTTGTTATAAGTTTTCGAAATAACCATTATTGATGACGCATTTAGGTAGTTTCACAGTCAACAGGTTATCATAAAAATCCTACATGTTGTTTACACTGACACAAACAGTGCCATGCACACGAAGACACACACAACTACCTGACCACTCAGACGTACAGACATTCACAATTCCACGTACACATACACAATTCCACGCACACATACACAATTCAACGTAGACATGCACAAGTCCATGTACACATACACAAGTCCACGCACACATACACAATTCAACGTAGACATACACAACTCCACGCACACATACACAAGTCCACACACACATACACAGGTCAACGTACACACACACGTCCAAGCACACACACACAAGCCTACGTACACATACACAAGCCCACGCACACATACACAAGTCCACGCGCACACACACAAGCCTACGTACACATACACAAGTCCACGTACACACACACACACAAGTCCACGCGCACACACACAAGCCTACGTACACATACACAAGTCCACGTACACACACACACACAAGTACACCTACACATACACAAGTCCACGCACACATACACAAGTCCACGTACATATACACAAGTCCAAGTACACATACACAACTCCACGAACACACACACACAAGTCCACGCACACATACACAAGTCCACGTACACACACACAAGTCCACGTACACACACACAAGTCCACGTACACATACACAAGCCTACGTACACATACACAAGCCCACGTACACATACACAAGTCCACTACACACACACAAGTCCACGTACACATACACAAGTCCACGTACATATACACAAGTCCACGTACACACACACAAGTCCACGTACACACACACAAGTCCACGTACACACATACAAGTCCACGTACACACACACAAGTCCACGTACACATACACAAGCCTACGCACACATACACAAGTCCACGCACACACACAAGTCCACGCACACACACACACACAAACAAGCCCACGCACACATACACTAGTCCACGCACACACACACACACAAACAAGCCCACGCACACACACACAAGTCCACGCACACACACACACACAAACAAGCCCACGCACACACGCACACACACACAAGTCCACGCACACACACACACACAAACAAGCCCACGCACACATACACTAGTCCACGCACACATACATAAGTCCACGCACACACACAAGTCCATGCACACATACACAAGTCTACGCACACATACATAAGTCCACGCACACATACACAAGTTCACGCACACATACACAAGTCTACGCACACACACACAAGTCCACGCACACACACACAAGCCCACGCACACATACATAAGTTCACACACACATACACAACCCACGTACACACACACACAAGTCCACGTACACATACACAAGTCCACGCACACATACCCAAGTCTACGTACACATACACAAACCCACGCACACATACACACAAGTCCACGTACACATACACAAGTCTACGCACACATACACAAGTCTACGCACACATACACAAACCCACGTACACACACACAAGTCCACGTACACATACACAAGTCTACGCACACATACACATGTCCACGTACACATACGCAAGTCCACGTACACATACACAAGTCCGAACACACATACACAAGTCCACGTACACAAACACAAGTCCATGCACACATACACAAGTCCACCTACACATATACAAGTCCACGCACACATACACAAACCAACGCACACACACAAGTCCACGCACACATACACAAGTCCACGCACACATACCCAAGTCAACGCACACACACACAAGTCCACGCACACACACACAAGCCCACGCACACATACACACAAGTCCACGTACACACACAAGTCCACGCACACATACACAAACCCACGTACACACACACAAGTCCACGTAAACATACACAACTCCACGCACACATACCAAGTCTACGCACACATGCACAAGTCCACGTACACACACACAAGTCCACGCCCACATACACAAGTCCACGTACACACACACAAGTCCACGCACACACACACAAGCCCACGCACACACACACACAAGTCCACACACACAAGCCCAGGCACACATACACAAGTCCACGTACACATACACAAGTGCACACACACACACAAGCCCACGCACACACACACACACACACACACACACACACAAGTCCACGCACACACACACACAAGCCCAGGCACACATACACAAGTCCACGCACACACACACACACACACACAAGCCCAAGCACACACACACACACACACAAGTCCACGCACACACACACACAAGCCCAGGCACACATACACAAGTCCACGTACACATACACAAGTGCACACACACACACAAGCCCACGCACACACACACACACACACACACACATACACAAGTCCACGTACACATGCACAAGTCCACGCACACACACACAAGTCCACGTACACACACACAAGCCCACGCACAAAGAAATGTACCCCCCATTCCCGTTCAAACATAAGCACAAGCGCACAGTTATACCCCTACGCCTACAAGCATACATACAGACACGTCCGAAATTTATTCGGATAAACTAAACGCAAATATAGTCATCATACAACAGTTTCTGTAGCAACAGAACTCATTTTGTTCCGATACCACCCATGGCATGTCGATCCAAGGCTCGTAAATACTAAATCGGTTTCTATTTCCAATACTTAAAAATACACTAATGTCAAACCCACGATGCATTTCACGTTATGGAATTATTATCTCGTAATCAGTCCAATATGAAATATTACTTACAACACCTAACACCACATATATATCAATATCCCAGCAAATGCCTAAAACGATCTTGCCCCAAGCTTGATTTGATGCAAATGATGTGGACATACGCAGTTAAAGCAACCTCTTTAATTGTTTATGCGAAAATGATATGATCGTGATTTATACCTTTCATTTTGTAGTAATTATGGCCTGGCTTGTTATCTGGTCATCAGGAAGATGCAGCTGATGTTTCCGTCAGCAAACACGTTTAATAACTTGAGCAGTAATTGACTGACCTCTGGGGGGAGGTTTTATTATGTAAACTGACTCTTTTATATCTGTTTGAACACAGCTGATGCAAACACATGAGACATCTGGTTATCGATCCATACATTGATGTCCCCCGTGGTAACGTGGCCTGCATACAGACTACACCGACACAACTGGGCCAGCACGACACACAGCAGTTGTACATGGCCTTCCGGCAAAACACTAAGTAAATGTTCGTCAGCTTTATTTAATTTTCACATTATACATGTTATAGTTCTTGGAGTTTTCCCGTGGTATTAAACCCCATAGCCGAGTATAATCAGGATTAGGATTAGGTTTCCAAATTTGAAATAAAAAATTAATATCGAAAATGATGTCAGTTGTAATTTCTTATTTTGACTGGAACATGTGATTGTGATTGGTGACAGCAGTGGGGCAGAATACGCTGATAGTGACAGATAAACACACGATTGGGATTGGGAGTCGTACAATGAACTCTACGTATTTGTAAAGATTTCTAAAATGATGGGAATGGTTTTTTTTGTTTTTATGTAGGACCTGGCAGGGTGTGTCACCACCCTACAGCGGTGTGGATCGATGCTCGATGCTCCTACTGGTGACAATTGACTTGTCTGGTCCAGACTTGATCAATTGAGTGTTACAGTTGACATATTTTGCGGCTCAAAATTCATACATTCACTCTTCCGATTGATAAACCTTGCTCAATAGTGATGGAAGACAAGGGGGCAGCAAGTTCTGTCTCAGCCGGACAGCTGTGTATCAAAGGACTGATATACCGTAGTTGTGTTGACGTGTATGCTTTAAGAACGTACTGTTTTGGATAATATGCATCTTTACACCCCCTGCAGCTCTACAGTAAACCTGCTCTACATCAAGGATAGACGATACCCATATAGGAACTGCATCTCTGATTGTAGTCTTGAGGAGCCAGCCTGGTGCCTTGGTGGTTACAGTGTTCGTTCGCCACGCAGAAGACCTAGTTCGTTTCCCCACTTTGATACAATGGGTGACGCCCTTTTATTGTGTATATTGCTGAAATACAGCGAGGCTTGTTACGGCCACCCACGGTCACTGACCAAATAGTACATTCTTGACCTTGGCAATGCTGATGTGTCTTTGTGATTGATAAACTACCAAATTAGCCGAACCATACTCTAATAAGGAGGTCATGGGCCTAACTGTACCAGCCCAGGCCTGATGTCGCCTATTGCACTTGTCCCAGTGATTGAACCAATTGAATAAAAAGATGCACGAACTAACCTATAAAAAAAACCCATCTAGTGTTGTTTGTTAATCTTCTTAATACCAATGCTTTCTAAATTGTGTAGTTAAAAACGTTGCTATGGAAACATAAACTACCAGCATTATTTGCAATGTTGTAAGGACTTTCCAAAATTTCCATTAAGGTACTGTAGCATTAATAACCTTATCAAATAAAAAGTGAATACAGAACCTTTGAGTGTAAAGATCTAACGCATGCAGCATGGCGTGTTGCCCCCGTCGCATCAAGTCCCGCGACAGCCGGTTTAACCCTGATATGCCGCCAGTGTCCATGCTGCTTGTCTTCATGTGGCTGTTACTGACTTATCGCTGGAACGAGACACATCTGGAAGTTTTCTGGTACGCGAAAAGACGTTTTCTGCTATAGTGCTAGGTTTGTTGGACAGATTGACTGCTGCAGCTCCTGATAACTTTCCGTTGGCTAAGTGATATTCATTCCTAATAGGTCAGAACAGCCCTCCTGGGAGGTTCCGGGACGAGCAACCACCGGGTAATGGGGGAAAATATCACAATGACTTGCTCAACATTGCATAGATAGGTGCGCTAACATTTACATGCAGGTAGAACCAGGTCGCTGCCAGATACAGGCCAAGACAAACGTAAGTGACAGTATGTCGGAATGACTTGCTCAACGTTGCATAGATAGGTGCGCTAACATTTACATGCAGTTGGGACCAGGTCGCTGCCAGATACAGACGAAGACAAACGTAAGTGACACTGTAGAGCTATAACATGCTATAAATCCAAGTTCATATCACAAAGAAATTACTAAATTACAGTTAAATGATATTAGACAATAGTAGCACCATCTCAAAAGTTATTAAACAACCTTGCAGTACATTGAAAACACAATCAAAGTGTCAACTGTCCTCTGTCGAAAATGTATTGAAACAAGACTTTGAAGGAATATTGAAGGAACCACAGTTTTTATTACCTACATTTCTTGTTTGTTTGTTTTCTGTTATTAAAAAGTGACCGTGACTGAGAGAGAAAAAAAAACTGTTTCAATCAGCGGTTGCAATTGTGATTTGAAATTCCTGACTGACCAATCAGAAGTGAGTATTTTCCTTATTCCAAAACCCATTTCATACAAGAATACTGAGATGTAACAAGCACAGCATCAAAGATTTATTGCCCTTGTTCTCATACCCAACATTGTTCTGAGCAAGCCACGTGTCTAGTGAAGTATTCCATGTTTCTGATAGTTAAGTTTAAAAAAATATGCATCTCTGTATGGTGTGCGCTTGATTCATTGTTTTCAATTTACAGAACGGCAATTCTCACACGTGAGCGTTTGCTCCAGGGAAATTATTTTCTTTGAAAAGGAATAGTAAATGTATCTAAAAACAGGTAGAACGTGATATATGACAGTTTTTTCAATTAGTGCTATTTTCTCCCCTGGAGTGTAGAACAATGATTTTTTACTCAATGGCGAACTATGTGTCTCGCGGCTGCGTTTTAACCTGTATCTGTTATGAAACTCCATCTGCGTTGTCTATTAAAGATAAAACGGGGAGGAAGCATTATGGGTGTAAGATGTACAATATACCAGTACATACTAAGACATTTTTAGGGGCTTTCTCATTTATTGTGTCATAAACATTTTGGAACTTCATGCAAATATGACATTAATCCGGATAGCAGACTTCGTGTGTAAGCATCTAAACAATTCCCTGAAATGTAATGAGTTTCAGTGATCATGAAAGGCAGTCGGCCCGTTTGGGAATTTGTCCTTTAAATGTTAAAGAGTGCGTTGTGGCCCAGTAGTAGAAGGCCACGCAATTCGCTTGTGCAGAGTTGCGTTTCTTATTTTTGCTAAAACATGCTGATCGTTCGATCATACATGCTTCCCGTTTCTCGAAAGTATGCCTCGTATATAAGGACACTGTTAGGGTGACCTGTCCATAGAGTTTTCATTTCCTCAAGAACACTAACACTTTCAGGCTTAATTAGTGTGTTTCGTAACGTTTGACCTAGCTTGTCAGTTTTTAGCCGGGAAAGGGAAAGGTTTATGTTTGAAATGACACCGAGTGTAACAAACGGTTTTTTTTATTACCAATAAATACCGCAGAAAACGCCCCCGAATCTAATTTCTGTCAGCGATCGAAATTTGCCCAATTTGACCGTGCGGTTCGTTTACAAGCGACACTAGCTTTGCACATATTCAACAAGAAATATATTAAAGTTAATCAGCTTTGAATTAAATTGGCTGCCACCTCCTACTTCAAAGGGGTTTTATTTGGCCGAGTACGATGTATTGACTTACCATGGATACGTGGCATCTTCAATTGAGATCCGGAATAGGAGAGAAATACTGCTGGCGGGCATTGTTACGGAAACCCAATACTGGAGCTGAATCAAAATACCCAAAGATAATGTGTCTACCTTTCCTTGTGTTAATGTTGGGACGTATTGCTGGTGGTGAGCATTTCACCATCGCTCTTGAGCATATTGGTGCTGCCGGGGAGCATAGTTGTTGTGACGATGATCCTTGTCTGTCTGCATCATACTCATGATCGTTGGTTTCATCAAAGAAATAAAGTTTGTGGCTTGTGTCACCCTGGTTTCCCTCGTATTTAAGCTGGTACGCCGGGATATAACTGAAATACAGTTCAAAGCTGTTAAAACCGAATTCACTCCTTGGTATAAGAAACTCATTAACATGAATGTGCCCAGTATTTTGAAGGAGGTGAAATATGTGGATTCCTGTAAATAAAAGTGTGAAAACAATTTCCTTATCATAAGAAGTTTATTGTACGATTCCGACTATATCACAAGCATGTGTTTATTAAATCATTATGAACTAGTGATGATGTTGGGTGTTCGCGGAAAGGTTGGCATATCGTTCCCCACCGGTAGTACCCATCACAAACACATGCAAAGGCAAGGCAAGAGTTCACTAGAACAAACACGAAAACATTTATGGTACAAGTCAAAATAGGGCATTGCTTCGGACATCATTTTGGTCAATGATGCGTCAAATTGTGAAATGTCCTCCTCCAACTTTCTGATAGCTTGGCCGAGGCCATTGTGCAACCTTATTAAAACAACCTTTGTGCAAGAGTATGACGATATTTGAAATCTTCGCAGAAAGAGCAGGCTTAAGTGCTGGAATATTGGTGGACATAAATTGAAAGTTGCCGATTGGAAGGTTGAAGTCATCCCTCTTGTCATACAGTCTTGTGGAGAGTCTTTTGTCTAAATATGAAACAGATCAGGCGATTTCTAGTTCTGGTGGGTAAATCAGTGGAAGGGTATTGGCCATTTGATCATTTGTGATATATACTTGAAGCTTAGGTTAACCTTGGCCAAATTACCTTGTTTTTAATTTGCCACTCGGTACAAATATTCTGATTCAAATGCATTAAAGAAACAGTTCAAACAAGGAGGGGAGCAGAATTGGTGCCCATGGGGATGCCTTCTTCTTGCCTAAATGTATTTTCCCAAATTTCATATAGATGGTATCAAAAAGAAAATACATAATTGTTTTCTGAGTAAACTTCAGATGACATTTGCTTCCATTTTTATCAAATTGTCCTGAACCTCTGAAGATATGTAACTATATCTATGGTCACCACGTTAAGATATGTAACTATATCTATGGTCACCACGTTAAGATATGTAACTATATCTATGGTCACCACGTTAAGATATGTAACTATATCTATGGCCAAGGATCAAGGAATGAAGCTGTTAAGTTTATCGCGTGTGGTAGCGATGTACAAAGTAGATAAATCAAATTATTTGACATAATTGAACTTGTTTCTTTTCTGATACTGTAAATTCAAACGAATTCTTTGAGTTTTTTAGGATCCACATGGTATTAATGTCACTTGTTTCAAATACGTTCTTATTTGAGGCCTTGTCATTTGGAATACGTACAAACCGTTCATGTAGGGCAGCCAGACTTTGGATGACAGCTCGCTGGATGGGTTTATTCCAGTTTTGTTTCCTCTGTTTTACTTTGTGCATGTTACCATGACAACATCACGCTCCGACGTCTTCCACTCTAAAAGACATTCAACAGGTTCATCTTCTCTTTTGGCGCATTGTTTTTGCATATCTTCGACGGTAGCGGTAGCCATAATGATTTAACACTTTTGGTTATATGAACAACAGATTGGTAAGATGAATCTTGGCAGTATAATTTACATCATGACAAGTCCACGTTCTGCAATACGTTTCTGTAACTGAACAACTTGGATGAAATTCTGTTCGTATAGGACAATGACACGGTTGGTGGTTCCTGAAATTTGAAATATTGTGGGACATTTAGGGAAAACTTTTTTCTGAGATTGTTACCTTAATTTAAAGCTTCAGTTCAAATTTTTAATTCTGTTTTCTGAACGGAGTGATTTTCTGATTTGGCCAAACGTTTGAAGCAATATTAAGAACTATACTTTCTAGACGACACTGGGCTCTTCCTATGTGTACGTGTGTCGATTCATTTCTTTCAACAGCACAAAGTATAGTCTTGTTCTTACTTTGTGCAGTCACAATGGTTCCTGGAGGAGAGGAAAATCTTCCAAAAGAATGGTACATTTTATCATGACATCCATAGGATATGGCTGTACACAACAGTCGAAAGACTTTCTCTGGACATCCTTTTAGGTCGACTGCATTTAAGGCTATCAGATGGTTGGTATATTTTCTCTAATATCCTAACTAAGATGCAAATGATGGAGTGACTTTCAGAATTGAAATGTTGGTCGGCACAACTGAAAACATTCCTGTTGATGCCCGATCTGTGCTGGCCAACTCGTGCCGATAATGTCTGTTGCGTCTCACAATTAATTCACAATTGCTATTGTGTCCACTCTTGTGGATTCCGGGATAGAATTGGTACAGATCCTTGGAGATTCTGGGAAAGAATTGGTACTGGCTCTTGGGGATTCTGGGTTATAATTTGTACTGACCCTT